GCTTCGCACACGGGAGTCAAAAAACCACTGACTGAACTGCACTGTTTTGCTATGATGCTCACTTGGTGCAGAGAGTGAACACAAGCCAAGATGGTGCTGCCCTATTGACCTTGGTCACGTGTTATGTGACATGGAAGAAAATCGTGGGGCTTCCCCTGAGCTAGATTTCTCTCTCCATCATTGGCTGAATCACAGATTAATGACAACAGTTCAAAATAGTCAGTCAGTAGCCAGTCCAAATGGTGGATGGAGAGAAGAACGCTGCATGGCGTTTCCATGCGGAACCGATTGAGGAGCACGTACTGAGTCTGCCTGAGTCCAGAACTGGACGCCCACCACCTGTAGATTTGGTACTTCGAACACATTTGAGTAGAAGCCTGGACTTAATGCCGGCTGATCTACCTTGTGTATGGTGCCCTTTTCCAGCAAACTGTCTACTTCCTGTCTGATTGCTTCCGCCTTGCGGGAGTCCCCTGGCAGTGCCCCCCATGGGGAGGACACTGACAGGGGAGATGGAGATTTCAGCGGTATCCTGTAACTGTGTGTCACCAGCTGGAAAGTCCAGGGATCGTTCACCCGATGCCTCCAAACCAGAATACACCGGCGCAATCTGTGTGCGACAGGGATATGTGGTCATGGGTTCAGCAGTTGTGAGGTGTGGGTGCTCTATCCTCCCATGAGATGAGTCCCCAAAAGGCCTGAAGTAGACAATAAGTTGTAACCTGGCCTCTCGACGAAAGTATGCCCATCCCCCTCGTTGCTGAGGTAAGCGTCAAACATGCTTTCCCCGCTGCTGGGGTGGACAACCGCCCGAGGAGGATGAGGCGCCACCACCTGGTCCTCTCTCCCTGGGGGCACACCGCCACTCTTCCCTCCACAGAAGGGTACGAGTGCTTGCCTCCTGGCTGACTCTGGCTTGGTGACGTCGCCTTAGGGCGTTGTGTTCTCTGCACTTGGGGTGCCTTCCGTTTACCCTTGGCAGTGGCCAACTGGCTAGTGGATTCGACCTGAACCATGGCATTCCGAAGCTCCGAGACTGCACCCGCCATCTCCCCATCAAAGAGGGTGGAGGATGTCCAGTCTGCGTAACTGAGGCGGTGACATACCTAGACTCAGTTCGACCGTGTCTCGTTGAACAGAAGTTGCCCCGGCCAGGAGAGCCAGATGACACTGAGGGGATGTTGCACGTAGCTGTGCAGTGGCCCAACAATAGGTTTGTTGCCTGGGCTAGGAGATTTGTGTGTTCTGCCTCCGAGGTCTCCAACAATTCTGCCCTTGGGCGGGATGGATCGTCTCGGAATGTGGCGAGGACGCCCATGGAACGCGGCCATCCCCCTTTACCCGGTTTCGCCAAACGGAAATCGTGGTCCGGGGAAAAAGGAGCCCTGGGCTCCAGTCGGGGGCGTTTGGTCTGATCCGACACTTTGGGGTCTGATCCACACACTGAAACCACACCAACAGGGGATCGTTTGGTCCAGCGGAAAGAGTTTTGCATAAGATTACCCCACCAAGGGGCCTTAGGCATTATCTCCTCCATGGCTGACCAACGTCTGCCCATCAACACCGGCTGCGCACCCTCCGCCATGCTCATTACTCGGCCGGACCAGGGGAGACATGCCAACGGGGATGCTTTGGATTCCTGTGCCTGTGATCCCATAAGCGTTGAAGCAACAGTAAGTGGTTGCTTGTAGGATCGAGGGTGGGGGTATGTACATCTTATCAATAGGATCGATGATATTCCACATCACCCCAATGGCGTGGCTCACCGAGTCATTACAGATGGATGACTCTGAGGCTGCCCGAGGTTACCCACTGTATCCGGGTTCCATGCTGGTAAATTTTGATCACTGCACAGTTGCCTCGAAAATTGAGGAGACAAAACCGGCGGTGAGCTTCTGGTGCCGTCATTACATCTATCCATTTCTAAATACATTGGTAAAACATAAAAATGAACACGACATGCATGAGGGAAGCTAAATACAGTTGGAAAAGGTGACACAAAGAAACGGACGACGTGGTTAAATTGCATTGCCGGGTTTTATTTTCTTGTTGTAAAAAATTATACACACAAGGGGGAAAACATAGGGGTCAAAATAATGAGAAAAACTTATCCTAACAGCCAAAGTGTCGGCTGCCGCGCCAGAAACCGCTAGGCTTCATCCCCACCGGTGCGGAGAAGAAGAAAGAGTGAAGATAGAGGTAAGATGGCGTCGCCACATTACCTCGGTTACGTGGTTCGTGACGTAAAGGACAATCTTGGGGTCATAGGGCTTCCCCTGACCTAGATTTATCTCTCAGTCATTGGCAGAATTGCTGATTAATGCCTACAGTTCAAAATAGTCATTTTGACTGACCTGAGTCTATGGTGGGTAATTGAATGTCCTGAATTGTGTTCATTCTGAGCACTTATTTCTACGTCTAACAAATGTTTTATTTCAGCCAAATTTTACCTCATATCTCAAAAATTGCACTTGCACCAAAATTAAACTTGGGAGACACCTCTTAGTGATTGATAAGATTTCCAAAATTGCAGATAATCGGATAAAAATTTTATTGTAATCGCAAGACAGCTTTAAATTAAATTTACCCCAAAATATACACATACAAGTATTGAACTTAGCCATAATCCTAAACTGGTTAATATAATAAATTCGATAAAAAAATGTTTCAGTCATTTTATCTACATTTACTCCTCCATCTTCATCTATGATGGCACAAAGTAAAAATAACTACATGAATTGTTTGTCTTAAATAAAAACCGTTTTTTAGATACTATTGGGCTTTTTTGGCTATGGAAATCCTAATTTGGTAAAGCATTATTGTACCACACCTTATAACAAAACATTTCAGCAAAAAAGATTTTTACATTGCATTTTCAATTTTCTAGTAAAAACCAACACAATGGATTTGTTTATTTAGCATTCACAAGTTGTAATTCATATTGACATCAGTATGGTCACTGTTTATGGATACAATGTTACAAGGCCTACAATAATCTGAATAAATTGATATGCCCTAATCAGTACTATTTTTTTATGGTCAAGACAAATTCTTAGAAGGGTTTAAGGCAAACCCATACCACAGAAAGGGAGATTATAGGAAGATGTCCTTCTGAATTGTTTATTTTGGTGACCACTTTTTCAAATTCAATATAATTGTGGTACATAAAGAGAAAACAATACTGTATTTGCTCTTTGTAAATTCTCTAATAGAAGCGCATGTAAACCCAACATTGGATATATTGTATACAGATTCTTTCAAATAAGATTAATTTTGACCAAATAGATACCTCTGCTATTTACGCAAGCGCATACACTGCTAATGAGGGAAATACAGAATTTTGTTATTAACCTATTTATTGTGTAAATAAATGAGCAAAATTGAGAATATAGAATGACAGTATGTTGTAGATATTAAGCATTGTAATATCCTACACATTGTGAAAGGAATACTGAGATTTCATTTGTGCACTGAGGAGAAAAACAACAACACACAAACAGCTGTTTCCTTTTCAGTTAATGTTGGTTGTATGACCATGATATATACAAGATTTCAAGTTATTATAAAAGCGCTGAGATTACAATGATACAAATGTGATTCTATCACATCAATTGGATTACTGTAAAATACTTTATTTTAGCTTTTATTTCACTATTTCCACTGAAGGAACGATTCAGCGATAATAAAATACAGCGAATATACCATTTTCCCTTAAATTTTACATTCAACTCGTCAAAAATCAGTGAAAATAAATTCCACACAAAACACCCAAAAAGTTTTTTTTCGGCAAAAATTAATTCCAGCTAAAATAAAGTATTTTACAGTAGTTATTCACTTAACATAAACATGACAAATAAAAAAACATTCCAAGATCCTCAGACTGTATCAATGTTTATTGACACTCCACTCCATCAAGATATGGAAACTCTCAGTAGTCAATGATTATCAATGTAAAAAATGTACCATTATATACACATATCAATGAAGCCTTTTTAAAGGAGGGGGTAGTCACTTACACATGCATGGGATTTGAGTCCCAATCGACGATAACAACACGCGGGTAGTGCCCCCCCACACTTTAAATCCCATTATTGTTGGCAGCAATTTACTGAATACATTAGTTATAGTGCACCCATTATTTCATGGATAATATAATTGTAGTGACCACTGCTCCAATGCCCACAATTGCCGCTCCAAACAGCATACCAGTTGTTGAAAACTACAAAAAAAAATAAAGTCATAGTCAATGACATAGTCCCTGTCTGTATTTGGCTGAATTAATATTTGGGGACACAACATTATTTGAATCTTGTCAATGCATGTTCGACAACAAATGGTTAATGATGCATGAAAATGAAACCAACATGGCCACCAGTCGGCTATTTTGAGATAAACCAGTAAAGCAAAGCGATGCGCGAGTAACCCATGTGTGATTGTCATACTAAGTTTTCATACAGTAAGATCCAAGCATGACTAAGAAACCATTGATAATCTGAACTGTGGTTCAGAGTTTATAAAAGGTTAGATGGTGACCAGATTTCAGATCACAAATCACACTCAATGGGTGATATATCTGGTCAGTGTTCCACAAAATGACTCTTTTTGAAAATCAGAATGTATGGAGGACTTTATTTTGCTGTTGGAAACAATCTTGAATTTATAGAATACAATTTTTATGTTAGTTTACCAGCTGGGCAAGATTTAAGCACATTACTTGTTTAAAAGTTGATAAGAAGGCATATTTTAAACACCCATATGAGTCTTCATATTAAATGTTGGCAGCAAGTATATCTCGAAATATTGGTGGTTTTACACGATATTTCTGGAATTATTATCATGAAATATATTTATTTTTATATTTCTGGAAATAACTGTTTCCTAATTGCAATTGGGTAAACTAACGATAATGTAACAGTGATTTTTATGCAAATGTTTCTTCAAAACCTATCACAGTGTTTTATAGTCTTTAACCTTTTCACCAGCAGTTCGCTCTTTTCATCACGAAATATTCCGTTTAAAGTCTACACTTTCCTTCAGAAGATTATGAGAAAAATAGTCAAATTTTTTGAGTAAAAAATGAAAATTGACTCAAATTTTGTCTGTTGGCGTAAAAATATTGAAGAATATAAGAAAAAAGTCATTGTCAATGACACGTCCCCGTTCCGTTCATATTTGAGTGACATATACATTCATAGCAGATCATGACCGAAATCTCAGACCACTTTCAGTGGTCTGATCTGAAATGCACCTGCATATGTAACAACACATTGTACTAAATCTGAACAAAATTCATCCATGCATGACTGAGATCCGGTTCCAGAATTGTGAAAATACGTGATTTTGATGCATTTTCGGCCTTAAAATGGCCATCATTCAGCTATTGTTAAGCGGATCATGAAACAAATGCACATATCTATTTGTGACATGACGTACCATGTGTGTGTGAAGTTTGAACTTGATCAATCCAGACATGTCTCGGATACAGATCCAGAACTTAATTCTTTTTATAACAAAATGGCCACCAGTCGGCCATTTCGAACTTGATCCGAAAAAAAAATGACGTGCATCAAGGTCCTATTATGTTTAATGTATGTACCAAATTTGAACAAAATTCGTCCATGCATAACTGAGATCCGGGTCCGGAATGGTGAAAATGTGCGATTTCAATGCATTTTCGGCCTTAAAGCAGCCGCCATTTGGCTATCGTTAATGGGATCATGAAACAAATGCACATACATATTTGTGACATGACGTACCATGTGTGTGTGAAGTTTGAACTTGATCAATCCACGCATGTGTCAGATACGGATCCAGAACTGAATTCTTTAAAACAAAATGGCCGCCAGTCGGCCATTTCAAACCCGATCCAAAAAAAAAAAAATGACGTGCATCAAGGTCCTATTATGTTTACCGTATGTACCAAATTTGAACAAAATTCGTCCATGCATAACTGAGATCCGGGTCCGGAATGGTGAAAATGTGCGATTTTGATGCATTTTCGGCCTTAAAATGGCCGCTATTCGGCTATCGTTAATCGGATCATGAAAACAAGCAGCCTATCGGCTGAGATAGCTCCGCTGTTAGCAATGCACATTTCAATTAAAGAACTGAAGACACCATTAGAAAATGAACAATATGTATAGTATAAAAGCAATCGGACTTACAGTTTTTAACAAGAAGTCGAAAATATCACTTTTTACCAAAAATGACAAAAATATTCACCAAACTTATAGAATCGAAGATACCATCACGAAATGAACAAATCTGAGAAAGGTCTACATGTAGTATCTAAATATGTAATATCAAAGCAATTGAACTATTGGTTTTTAACAAGAAGTCGAAAATATCACTTTTTACCAAAAATTACAAAAATATTCACCAAAATTAGAGAATTGAAGACATCATCACAAAATGAACAAATCTGAGAGAGGTCCACATGTAGTACCTATATATGTAATATCAAAGCAATCGGACTTGTGGTTTTTAACAAGAAGTCGAAAATATCACTTTTTACCAAAAATGATAAAAATATTCACCAAAATTAGAGAATTAAAGATATCATTACAAAATGAACAAATCTGAGAGAGGTCCACATGTAGTACCTATATATGTAATATCAAAGCAATTGCACTTGCGGTTTTTAACAAGAAGTCGAAAATATCACTTTTTACCAAAAATGACAAAAATATTCACCAAAATTAGAGAATTGAAGATATCAACATGAAATGAACAAACCTAAGAGAGGTCTACCCAAGGTACATATACACCAAGTATCAAAGCATTCAGGCTTGTAGTTTTCAAGAAGAAGTCGAAAAAGTAAAACATTGACACGGACGACGACGACGGACAATCACTCATATGATAAGCTCCGCTCGACAAAGTCGACAGCGGAGCTAAAAATGCATGTGCATATGTCCCATATAATGTGTGATGTATGAGTGAAGTTTGAATTTAATCGGTCCATGCATGTTCGAGATACAGGTGATCACGGACGCACACAGGGCAAAACATAAGTCCCCGTTTTCGGACTACGTCCGAACGGGGACTAAAAAGTACTTAATAATTTGGGCGAGAAAGAATGATGATGAAAGAGCTAAAGGCCACGGAACTGACGCATGGGATAAATTTAATCTCATGTAGTAACTTTCATATGTTCCTCGATAAAGGATTTTGTAGGATCATTTACGAGAAATCCTCTACATACTCATTTCTTTGAATGTCTTTGTAGAGTATGTTTTAGAAGTGTACTCCTAAACAAACCACGATGTAAGGTACATGTAGGTTATATTTGCTTTTAAATATACATACAATTGGGTGAGCGGGTCTATGTTTTATTAGGTTGGTATGTTTCTATGGCAATTAATATTATCAGATATCTTTCACAAATTGAGCATTCTAGGTTATACCGGTAATCATATGAAAATCAAACCTTGAAAGGCAGTCATACTGCAGTCTGAACTTACCCAGGATTTTGTAGCGGACTTTTCAGTACCAAGCTTAGTTGCAGAATCAGCAAGATCACCAACCATCTTTTTGCACATGTCCTTTGTACTTTTCATTTCATTACTAAGTTTACCAACTATTTTGGCCAATTCTTGATGAATTGTCTGTGAATAAAGCAACCGTAATATGCGATTTCTTATCATCGGTTTTATCAAAGAGAATTATTATGTTAAGATCACCTTATGAAAGCTTCCACAGATATACCCAAATCAATGGAAAAAGGGAGCCAGTAGGAAATGTTTATTAAATTTGTGTGCAGTCAAAAGTTCAAAGCACAAAAATTTCATCAACATAAAAATGGATTACTGTTGACAACATTCACCAAAGATTTTACATGTTTCTATTAGAGATATATAACACAATTATTAATTTCCTCAAATCAAACTTACTGTTTATTTTCGCTTGCAAATATTGTTCGCTATTTTCGCTGAAGGAATGATTCGGTGAAAATAAAATCCAGCGAATATACATTTTCACAGATATTTTACATTCAAGCTATTCATTAAAGCCAGCTAAAATAAAATAATCAACTCAAATAAATATGTTTTTGTTGCGACAGTACCATCACTTTCTGGAGAAATATTATGTCAAATGTACAAGTTGGCAATCCATACAAAAAATAATCCAACCTTCATGTAAAATCTACATGTATATTCCTATTAAGATTATTTCAATGTACCTTGAGTGGTTGCTCTACTGAAGTTTTATCTGATAGTAGTTCACATTTAACTACTAAAATTTAACCATCCAATACTAGATTCCAACCATATAGAATAAATACCTTGTTTGATGGTTCTAACTTAATAGCTTTTCTCATATAAATCACTGCATCTTCTAACTCTCCTTTTTGAGCTAAAACCTACAAGACAAATATAATATACTGATTTAGTTTGCACAAAATATTTTTGTTAATTTTCTGGATCAGGTGCAATCGCAAAATTTGTAGAAGTGAACATTTCACTGGGTGGGAAGTTAATTGTCCTTGTGAATGCTCTCAAACATTACTAGTGGCAATAATTTGAATGGTGATTCTATATTTTCCAATCAAAACTTAGTACATGTATCAGGGTGTGGGGGTTATTGAGTGCTTCCTGCTTATAAATGCCACTAAAATGATAATCGATTGACAACATGTCGTTTTCTGTCTTCCTTTGATTATTCAAAAATAACACTTTGCATTCTGATTACCTACTAAGTTACTATGTTAAGAAACCTTTTTATTGGCACAAATACTTTCAGATTTTTAGAATTCACCAGTTTGTCTTAGCACTTGATAGATAGGTCTTATATAGTGAAATAGCAATAGAAACTAAAAAGTCAAATAGGTATGTTCACCTTTGCCTTTCTGAATAACGCCTTCACATTGTCAGGTTCAACTTTCAAAACAGCATTGCAAGACTTCAAAGCAGCTTCATATGCTTCCACCTTTCAATCAAAAATTACTAGTGTTATTCAAAATACACATGAAGCAAAAAATTGCATTTATTACATGCAAAATCATTGAGATATTAAAGTTATGCATATTAATGAGGTCACATGACCATATATGGTCACCTGATACATTATTCATATCTGTTGTCTGATGCCTTCATTATAGCACTGGTTGATTGCCCATATCTGCAGCAGTGCTTGAAACATTAGTTACGCTTATTAGTCGGGTAACATAAGCATATACATGTATGGTCATGTGATGTGTTAGTCTGATCCTAATTGAATGAATGCATACAATATTAAAGTTATGCATATTAATGAGGTCACATGACCATATATAGTCATCTGATACATTATTCATATCTGTTGTCTGATGCCTTCATTATAGCACTGGTTGATTGCCCATATCTGCAGCAGTGCTTGAAACATTAGTTACGCTTATTAGTCGGGTAACATAAGCATATAAATGTATGGTCATGTGATGTGTTAGTCTGATCTAATGAATGATGCATACAATATTAAAGTTATGCATATTAATGAGGTCACATGACTATATATAGTCATCTGATACATTATTCACATCTGTTGTCTGATGCCTTCATTATAGCACTGGTTGATTGCCCATATCTGCAGCAGTGCTTGAAACATTAGTTACGCTTATTAGTCGGGTAACATAAGCATATACATGTATGGTCATGTGATGTGTTAGTCTGATCTAATGAATAATACATACAATATTAAATTTATGCATATTAATGAGGTCACATGACCATATATGGTCATCTGATACATTATTCATATCTGTTGTCTGATGCCTTCATTATAGCACTGGTTGATTGCCCATATCTGCAGCAGTGCTTGAAACATTAGTTACGCTTATTAGTCGGGTAACATAAGCATATATGGTCATGTGATGTGTTAGTCACATCTAATGAATAATGCCTACAATATTAAAGTTATGCATAATAATGAGGTCACATAACCATACATAGTCATCTGATACATTATTCACATCTGTTGTCTGATGCCTTCATTATAGCACTGGTTGATTGCCCATATCTGCAGCAGTGCTTGAAACATTAGTTACGCTTATTAGTCGAGTGACATAAGCATATACATGTATGGTCATGTGATGTGTTAGTCTGATCTATTGAATGATGCATACAATATTAAAGTTATGCATATTAATGAGGTCACCTGACCATATATGGTCATCTGATTTGTTAGCTATATCTTTTGTTTGATGTCTTCATTACTGCACCAAATGCATATCTCTAACTGCATCAGAGAGTGCCTGAGATACTGAGTTGATGCCCGAGTCATTCATATTAATGAGGTCACATGATCATATATGGACATGTGATGTGTTATTCATATCTCTTGTGCAATGTCTTTGTTATAGCGCTAGTTGCATTTCCTTATCTGCAATAGTGCTTGAGATATTAGTTATGCATATTAATTAGATCACATGACCAATTCATACAAGGTAGGAAATTGATATGCATTGATTTCAACCCAGAAATAATCTGTTCTGTGGATTATCTAAAAGCACCTGGTATGTGCCAAGTTTTATTGAAATTTGATGCATGGTTGCTATACACAGGTTTGACTATCAAATATCTGTATGACAACTTTCAATATTATTGCTGTTATTAGTGTCATTTTTTGTATAAATATTTTGAATAATAAATAATTTTAGCTAAAGCTCGCCAAAAAAAAAAAAATCTTAATTATATTCCACACTGCCCAAATCCTGAAATCTGAACTACATCTGACAATTTATTGACACTCACCTTAAGTTGACAAGCTGCTAAATTATTATAACATTTAACTTTTAATTCTTCTATTTTTTTAAATTCGTCTTTATTTACCATTCCCTGTTGAAGAAAAATGAAACAGTTTGATGTAACATGGTAAAAAATCGACTGAGGCGGACAATATATATTTTACTATTCACAAAACAATTAGATAAACTTGAATTGTCAGTGCTGCTAAAATTTTGCTATGATTTGATAAATGTTTAATCTGTTCGCAACCACACTTTCTCACCCATATTTTTCTGCACTTTTTACTTACATTCAATATTTTTGAAAATGAACACTATAAAAAAAGGGGAACTGGTGCTGAAAAGTCATTGCAACCACAAGAAAAAATAGTAACATTGACAACAGCAATACAAAAGAAACAGACAAGTTTTACTCATATATGAATGGGGCAAGGTAGAACACCCTAGGTGCCTTGCTAAAATTTTGGAAGGATATCTTCTCAGACCTTGCCAAAGGAGATTCAACTACCCCCATGTACAAATGAAACTGGATGAGCTAAATTCACAGTTTAGTTGGTAGTAATAACTCAAACATGTTGGATGTTTGAGTGTTTAAAACTTAACAAAACACAACTGGACAATTGTTTATATGATTCAGTTTTCAGTATCTGAGTTTTTCCTGGTGCCTTAGATCACAGTCCCTATTGTTAATTCAGCCATATTAGCAATATGGCTCCAAAAAACACAGTCAGCCATTTTGAATTTAGTCTGGGAAAACAAATGATGTGCATTAAGGACCTATTATGTTTAATGGACATACCAAGTTCAAATGAAATACACGCATGATCAAGATCCAGTTCCGAAATGGCAGAAATATTTGATTTTGATGATTTTGAATAAATCTTGAACTTTATCATGACACAAATGCATGTGCTTATGTATGATATAATGTGTGATCTATGTTTGACGTTTTGATGTGATTAGTATGTCAAAGATGACACTGGAACTACATTTGTTTAAACAAAATGGCCACCATTTTCAATTTGACCTGGTAAAAAAAAAAGATGACCCGATATGTTCAATGTACATACTGATTTGAATCAAATATGTCCATGCATAACTGAGATTCGGTTCCGGAATTGCAGAAATGATTGATTTTGAGGAATTTTTAGTGCTAAAATGGCTGTTATTCGGTCATCTTGATTTGGATCATGAAACAAATGCATACATGTATGATATGTGGGATGTGTATGTTCAAATGGGGACTAAATAAAAAAAAAATTGAATATTGATTAACTTTTACCTCTTCAGGTTCTAGATAGTTAATTGCTCTGTAAAAAAAAAAGAAATCACTGAATAGTGCTTGTTATGACACAGAAAGACTTGTCAGTGCCCAGTATTTACTGGAACGGGTACCATTTAAACACATTTAGTACCTCACAAACTTTACTCCATACTTTACTGTTAACATAGATAATGTTTACAACAAGTATTTGTGTAAAGTGTGGTGTTAACAGTGTGGTGTTTGCAACAAGTATTTGTGTAAAGTATGGTGTTAACAGTGTGGTGTTTACAACAAGTATTTGTCTAAAGTATGGTGTTAACAGTGTGGTGTTTACAACAAGTATTTGTCTAAAGTATGATGTTAACAGTGTGGTGTTTACAACATTCATTTGTCTAAAGTATGGTGTTAACAGTGTGGTGTTTACAACATTCATTTGTCTAAAGTATGGCAGTTTACTAATCTGCTTACAAAGACAAGTGTGGATTTTACAGGAATAAACAACTGACCTATACAATGGGTCACATGATTATAAGTGTGCATAATCCTAGGTTAATTAAATGTATTTTTAAAAATAAGAAGATAAAGCTGATTTGATGTATGAAACCCAATGGTTAACTATCTATATATATATATATATATATATATATATATACCTGAGTAATCTAATTTAGGTGTTACATAAAAACAAACACAAAATCAGTGCTCAGTAGCAAATGATCACAGTAGCTTAATCTTGTCATGCTGTTTCACATGCTGTTTAGAAAACTTATCTGTTTTCAAAGTGATACAAATGTTGATTATAACTCATCCACGATTATTATATAGTACAAATCAAAGAAAGCTTAGAAAGAACTCCCATGTGCTGAGAGTATTGGAGACACATTAAATATAATTTGAAATTACTTAGCTGAAAACTAATTATGCAAATCAAAAAATTAAAATGAACAGATTTGAGTATAAAACTAATGAGATCTGCGCAATGTAACTGAAAATCTATGTACCAAGTTTAATTGAAATGTGATTAGAACCAACAAATTATGAATTATTATGCTAATTAGGGAATTAATATGAACAGATTTTTACCCCAAACTAATTAGGTTTTTACATTGTCCTAGAGCATCTTTGTACTAAGTTTCATTGAAATGGAATAATTAGTACTTTAGATATCAGTGTGAAAGCTTAAAATTGGTTAATTATGCAAATTAGGTACATTTTGTAATTAATATGTACTGATTTAACCCACGATTATCCAGGTCTGTCTATTGTCCTACAGCATCTATGTACAAACATTCATTGATATGTGATGATTAGTACCTGAGATATCAGTGTGAAAGTTGGAAATTGGTTAATTATGCAAATTAGGTGATTAATATGCACAAATATTTACTGAAAACTAATTGGGTCTCTGCATAATTCTAGATTCATTGAAATGTGATGATTAGTACTTTAGATATCAGTAGAAAAGCTGAAAATTAATTATGCAAATTAGGTAATTAATATGCACAATTATTTA